GAAAGAAGGAAAGAAAAGGGAGGAAGGGAGGGAGGAAGGGAAGGGAAGAAGGAAGGGAGGAAGGAAGGGAGGGATAAGGAGGGAGGAAAGAAAAGGAACTGAAGCTTTTTGAATCAAAATCCAAAGCTAATTCTTACTTCGATATAGTAAGTTTGTTTGATTCTGAAGTTGTTTGTGTCCTTGCAAAGTTAGAAGGACCTCAATGTGCAGAAGAACTGCCTACTTCTAATACTTGTGATTGAAGAATTGAATATTTCACCTGGGGGCTCCTCACATTGTCTCTCTCAGCTTCGGCAGGTGGTCAGTAAGGCCCTTCAAACTAAATTCTGCTAGGATTAACGGATGTAGATAGAATTCATGGCACAATGAATAGGAGTGTTATGGGACAGTTTTACATTAGGCACAACTTGATTTGGAAATGTCTTCCAGGTTTTATCTGTTTTCGCTGATGCTTATAACCCCTATTTTATTTCAACAATTTTGAAGGTACCCAACCATATGAAATACTGAGCTTTGGCAAATGTCAATAATTTCCCCTCTAACACATGTAAACAATGCTGCCATTTCCACACACACACAGCACAGCATGAATTTAAAAACAAAAACAAAACAAAAAACAAAAACCCAAACCCTACTTCCTCCTTTTCTCCAAAACAGAGATACAACATCAGTAAAATTAGACATCTTGAGCCAAATCCCTTCCAACAACTCATATAAGTACTGTATTTTAATTTTAAGAAGTATAACACTTTCTACAAACAAGCTTTGTGGTGATCACCACAGGCAAAATACAGTTAGTGATTTAATTTCAGATATACTACCCAAAAATACAGTGCAGCAATAGCACAGGTTGAGATAGTCTGCCTGAAACTAATGTTGATTTTCTGCATAGATAGTAAATTATCGTAAAGAAATGAGGCAGTGCACAAGTGAATGGCACATACATAATGTCTTTCAGGAAGACATATTTTTATTACTGCGCTCCAGGATAGGCTGACTGAATTCAGAGTTCATCATTGTTGAAAATATAGTAGCCCATGTGTGCTCACTGTTAATTTTTAAGACCTGGTTTCCTACCTCATACTTATGTCAGTAACAATTAACTTCCGACTGGAGGTTAAAGGTATATTTATTTGTTTATCTTGACCTATTAATTAGTAAGAGACAACTTTCTAAAATTAAAAGACACTTAATGACTCTGTAAGGACATAAAGAAAGCAAGAAATGCATGCAGCAGAGCACCTCTTGTGTGATTTTAAGACCAGTGCTGGCTCTTATGATAGCCCTTTTATTTACACATAAATGCTTGTTGCTTGACAATTTAGATAAAAATGTTACTGCTGCTCTGCATGTGCTGTAGATTGAAGGTGTAAAACCACTGGACCAACTAATGGAGTCTTCACACATCGTATCTTGTTAAAGAAAAGGTAACCCACTCTCAAATGCTATTACAATTCATCAAAACTATGGTATATTAAGAATAGACTCTGAACAAAAATCTAACTTCTGTCTTTCTGAGTAAGATGCCAAGTTACGCACTGACTTAGGCCATGCCTTTTCAATAATAAAAATAATGGTTCCAAAATACCTTGAAAATATGAAAACACATTTTTAATTCCATACTTCTCCTAACAATCATAATCAAAAACAAAAACAAACAAACAAACAAAAAAAATCAGTGATACTCCAGGGATCTTGAACTAGGCTGCAACTTAAAAACCAGTTCTTCACATGAGTTTACTTCATACATTTACTCAGGCATCAAAATTTGAGTTTCTCATTCAATTCTTTCTGGTTTTAATTTAAGTTTTAAGGAGAAGTAATACTGCCACAAATGCTAACAGCTACAACGAAAATTTGATAAGTAGAGGTACTGAAAGGTAACACTCAGCCCTGCTATATTTCTAACAGATGTGGATGATGCGATCATCCATTCATTTTACTGTCTGTTTCACCATCCACACATGCATTTTAATTGAAACGTAATTTGAGAATCTTTTGTATTCAGCGCATGCACAATCAAAGGTATACATTATTGAGTTATGAATTAATTGTGCCTAAACAAACTGGGGGAAGGAAGAAAAGGGTGGGGCAAGAAGGAAGGAATATAAACATATACGTAAAAACAGCCTCCTCCCTCCTTACACGCCTTCTTCAAGTTACCTTAGTGTTTTAATACACACAAATGTGTGAGCCCAAATCTGCCAAACAGCTCCAATAGTAGCCAATTTGTTGTCTCAGTCCTTCAGACCCTCAAGGACTGACAGTTCATTTGTAAGCCAGTGCCCAAGAAGAAACTACTAATTATACCAAATCTGCAAAGTTGCATAATGGTTTTGTGATTTGGTTGAAAGCTAAGATCTCCAAACTCATTTCACTTGTGAGCTAAGAAAAATTCCGTTTTAGACCTCCAGAGGTGGCAGTCTGGAGCAAGAGAACATCACGTCACCAGCAAGGCTTTATTTATAAGCTCTTGTTGCACAAGATACTGAAATCGGTCATAGAAATCTAAAACTAGGGGTTTGTCTAAACATAGCATGTTTCCTGCTAGGTCAAATCTGCTGTTTATAGAATTTCAGTATTTTATGTTTAATTACTACATAGATTATTGATTTATTTATAAGACTATGCGAAAGTCAAGTCATAAATATATAGCAATTGTTTACTAGTTAGTTTGGATTAAGCATAAATAGATTGTGCAAGCTTAGCAAAAACCTTTCACCAAGCTGAATCAGAACATTCAAACTGTATTTTCAAATGTGTCTCTCTGCCTTATCTAAATTCCAACATGACACATAATAAATAGCTTCTCATTTACTATCATCATAAAAATTTAAACAGCCTTGAAACAGTTGCTACAATACAGGGGAAAATGATCAAATGTATGTTCTAAATACCCACTTAGAACAGTAAAACTATTTCCATATTGAAGAAAGAACACATAAAGATGCATTGTTGCAGTAAAGACTGTTACCTTGTTTAGAAAAAATCTTCTACTCAGAATAGTAGTATTAGAGTCAACAACTCACTGTTTTACACTGCCAAAAAAAAAAAAAAAAAAAAAAAAGGACTAACAGCCCTTAGCTATCATGTAGTGTCAGATTTGCTTTAAAAAAGAAAGTATCTGATTTGATTCTATACAGTGATTAAACATCTTTGTGCTCTGCTGAGTAGGGTATTCTATCCCCTCCCCCCTCCAAAAATGGCATCAAAGCAATCAAAATGGTAATGTTCAGCATGAATGGGGCCCCATCCCCCACCTTCAAACTCTGCAGACTTTTCTCCATGTTAGAAGAAACCAACACCCCTTCCTCACAAAATGGAAGCTTCCACTACCAAATTGAGAGTGCTGACAAATTCTGATTACAATAAACTGGGAGGAAAAGGGTGTCATATAATCACCATCACCTATGAGCATGCATTAGATACCCGTGGATCACTTCGCAACTTTAAGAAAAACTCCGGGAATAAAAAAAAAAAAAGACAACGAGGGGGAGGGTGGGGGGGCGGAGGGGGGAAGGGGGGAGAAGAAAAGAAAGAAAGAGAAAGAAAGAGAGAAAGAGAGAAAGAGAAAAAAAAAGAGAGAAAAAGAAAGAGAAAGAGAGAAAAAGAAAGAGAGAAAGAGAAAAAGAAACAGAGAAAGAAAGAGAGAAAGAGAAAGAAAGAGAGATAAACAAGGAAAGAAAGAAAAGAAAAAGCCCATGAGGTCGCACACGTGCCCCCTGCCTCAGCACCCTGCCGGGAAGGCGGCCGCCCCTGGGCTCCCCCCTCGGGCGCTGTCCGCAGCCGTGGTGCTGAAAGAGCTTCTGCATTCCGGAGGAACAGCGTTCGTTCCCTCCCGCCACCGGGAGACGAGGGATGGGGAGGGGAGCTGGCCCTGAGCTGCCCGAGGAGCTCAGCACAGCCGCACCGAGCCAGGGGAACCGGGAAGATAGCCGGGAGAGCTGGGGGGGAAGAAGGGGGGCGGGCGTGAGGAGAAGGAAAGTTCACCCCTGGGGGGGTAGGGGGGTTAAGCCAGCAGATCAAGCCAGCAGATCTCATACTGCCTTTGTCAAGTGTCCTTTCAAGCATTGGAAGTGCTGAAAGTGGGGAAAGGGCTTGG